CCCACAAACAATGCTATGATATGTAAACAACATTTGTTTTTTTCCTCACTTTTATTCATTATTCAGTAATTAATTGTTTATTATAAGACTTTTATTAACTAATGTATATTCTCACTGATAAAACAACTTTTTATTAAACTGAGGACAAGAACAGAACAAAATAACATTTCAAAAATTTGTTATAAATTATATTTTATATTGATTTATATTTGATTTTAAACAATAATTCGATTTATTTGCTTTCATTTTAAGTTGTATCTATCTCTGACCTGGTTGTGTTTAAAGCTAAACTTAAGAAATGGCATTTGTTTAACTTTTAGTATTTTATATTTCTTTTTATTTGTCCTTTTATTGTTGGTTATGCTTTTAACTTGCACTGATTTATTGTGACCTGTTTTTATTTTTATATCTTGTGAAGCACTTTGGTCAATGCAAGGCATTGTTGGAAAGTGATATATAAATAAAGTTTATTATTATCATTATTATGACATTTTTTAATCTTCCCTCCAGCTTTCCAATGCTTCCTTAGCGCCCCCTGGTGGCCTCCAATTTGAAAAACACTGAGCTGGGCAGCATTTGTCCAAACGTTAAGAACTAATTTTAAGGTTCACATGAAAAATATTTAGCTTCAAACAGTTGTTGTTTTAATGGCCTTGTTTCTTCACTCCTAATCTTTATGGTTATATAATCTATGATTTTAGGCCCAAATAAATGTAAGTCGACCATAAACATCTATCCACAACAAATTGACTTTATATTTCCACTTTATTGCTTAAAACTAAAAACATATATTTTCACTCAGTTTTAATGCTTAAATTGTATTTCAAGTTTATTGATTTAAAAACAAAATAAATTACATAAACAATAAAAAATAGAACTCAAATAAAACTAGACATGGGTTTTTACGATGTAAAAACAAGTGTGCATTGCCATGTAGCATGGCTTTACCTGCAACAGTGGACTTGCAGAATGAACTTTGACCAAGTTCAAATGTGTTTTCTACACCAGATTGTGCTTGTCAAGTCAGCAGGTGTTTGTAATTAAGGTAATTGTGTGACAATATGAAGTTCGTGGAGATTTTCTGTTAAAGTTACTGGGTTTTGAACCCTGATCTCCTACATGAAAGTCCATGGCACTAACCATGAGACCATTAGAGCTGTGGTAGAGAACGAGGCCAGGGTTTGGTTTGTATGTGTGCAGAAAGTGGCCACATTGCCAATGTAATGGTTGTCACTAATTTGAAAAATATTACAACAATAAAGCAATACTTGGACAATATTATAGTAAAACATCAAAATACAATCATATTAGTATTGTAAACACTGAACTATTGAGATTAAATATTAAACTATGGTGCAGTACTGAGTAGATACAGCAGGGGGCAGTATTGGACCAATACAAGGCTCTATTGACTCCCATTGTAAATTATTAAACATTAATATTTAAAAAAAACTATAAGTTGTACAGGCACCAAAAGGCATAGCCATCATTTGGCACAGGAGCTTTACAGATATAAATTACAATGGCAGCTCTAGAACAAAGTATACAGGAGGAGAAGCGTGCCAAAATGGAGATGACTTGGATGAGAAACGAATCACAATAGTGTGCATTGGCAATGCACACTGATGAAAGAAAAAAAAATCATATAATATTTGCCCCTTTTTCAAAAAAATAAATAATAAATTTAAGCAATAATAACCTATAACTGACTGTTTCTTCGTGTTTTTCAGGTTGTTTAATGTCCACAAAGATTCAACATACGATGAGTGCCTGGTGCCGCCTGAAAGTGAAATTGTGTACCCATTGGACATGGGCATCGTGGGTCATGTGGCAACCAGCAAGAAGATGGTCAACGTTCCTGATGTGACACAGGTGCGCACACCTGACGCCCACTGCTTTGACTAACCTGCACAAAGATCGAATCCTTAACATTTAAATCAGTGGTCCCCAAACTACGGATCCAGAACAATACCAGAGAGCATTTCGTTTTTTTTTCCATATATGTGTATTTATATTTCATTATAAAGTTGGACTTTTGCAATAAAATGTTCCTTAGTTGTGAACTATTTTCATTATTAACTATTATTAACTATTTCATACATACACACATATAACGTGACATTCTGTTCCACCCTTCTGCGGTCTGTGCCCCTATCTGGCAACCCCCAGAAAAAWATCCTAAACCCGCCCCTCTCAAAGAGAGAACGGAGTAATGGTGAAAAGATTTGGTAAGAGAAAAACTGATTCAGAATGCAGGACATTTAAGCTGCACTGGACAAACGATTTTTTTTTTTGTTCATCTGTAAAGAGGTGGTGGTGGTATTCAGAGAATACAATCTGCGGCGACACTATGAATCCTGTCACAAAGACAAATATGACAGCTTGCAAGGCCAAATGTGAGCAAACAAACTCTCAAAGCTAAAAAGTGGACTGTTAGCTCAGCAGAACACATACTGTGAAGAACCCAGAGAGGCTTATTTGATTGTGCTTTCTGGAAAACAATACATTTTTACATTTAGGCTCCTGCAATAGTCACATTTTTCTGTTACAAACTGACTCCGGCCCCCCACCAGAGAAGGGAAAAGTTATGTGGCCCTTACAGGAAAAAGTTTGGGGACCCCTGATTTAACTGAAACTGAGTTTAATGTTCACTGCTGCTTTGGTTGGTTTTGACCACCAGGGGGCGACAAAGTATCTCTGTAATTCCTTTTAATTCCAAACCAGTCTTAATCTCATTACAGCCAACACCTTTGACATTTGAAAACAGCTCGCAAGCGATTTTTTTCAGGCTTCCGCAGGTCCACTCACTGTCCTCACTGTCCTCACTGTCCTCACTGTCCTCACTGTCCTCACTGTCCTCACTGTCCTCACTGTCCTCACCTGCCCAAAGTGTTTCTGTGACATTTACTGTTATGAAGTCAGCAGCGTCCTGAACGAGCTCCTCAGCATCGGTTCAATCACAGCCTTTCATGTGAGATTAGAGAGCACAGCTGCTGATGGGCGAACAGCAACAGATCAGGSTTGATGAATTTTTATTATTCGCTGYCAGGTTATGAGTCAGAATAAACATCTTCCTGCCTCACAAACACAACGTTCGATGTGGAAACTTTCACTTCCTGCTGGCATCAATAAAACAAATAAAGTTTCCTCATAATGTTATTGTTGCTTTAGTCGATCTAATCTAACACCAGTTGGGATTATGTGATGACTAAGAGCTGGTCTAAATTCTCCCTCATCACTTGTCTTTTATTTTGTCCTCAGAGTGAGTTTAATATTCTCCTCACGCTCGGACGTTTTCGAACTCWGCGGTTGATGCAGTCGTTGCTTCAGAAGTGCCACTGAAGGAGGGACGGCTGAATGTGGAGCGAGTTAATCCGTCCTGAATTAGAGCGATCCCAGATTATACTGCCTGAGGTCACACAGGCCTTCAGCCAATTTCACTAACTCAGCACAACAACGCACCTTTAATCTGTTCTGATACACCTTTTCAAAAATAACATTATTTACCATAAACTGATCAGATAAATGTGAGTTTATCTGTAAAGCCATCTGACTCCTCCCACAGGAAGTCAAAATTGTAAATAACTTTCTGTATTTAGTTTATAGATTATGAAGCTTTTTAAATAAAATGAAGATAAAGCTTTAGTTGAGCTTAACGAGCTGGATTAAGACCTCTAAGCCCAGATGTTTGGGATGATTTTAAAGATAAACTAATCAATAATAACGGTTCAAATTTATCTCAGCTTTCCCTGCACGTCACTCAGGCTAAAGAAGAAACAAAACTGAAATTATCTCTCATTTTAAACAGAAAAGGAGTAAAATTTGTTAGCAAATTGTTTAAAAATAAACATTAGATTAGCTGCAGTGGTGGGGACAGTTCCCCTAAAGCACTAAAGCAGGAATGGGGGAATTAATTTCCTGATTAGTGCTTTAGGGCTTTTGATAMTTTCTAAATTCATCAGTGGATTAGCACTTGCTAAATGTATGAGCAGAATTTAGAAGCACTAACAGGTTTTTAAATGTTATTGATCAACATTATTATTAACAGCTGAAGGTGAAAACTGTTACACATGTTCATCACAATAATGACAACATTCTGCACACAGTAAACATTGTCTCAGTTTGACTTTGAAGAATGGGTCAACTGGGTTATATTAGTACTTTAGAATTACCTCTTGGTATTTTTTTTCAGTACTTTAGTGCTTTAGAATTAGTGGACCTAAATATATGAGGTAGTGCTTTAGAGTTAGTGCAACTAATTTTTTGATTAGTGCTGCCCACCACTGATGAGCTGATAAAACACTGAAAAAGTATGGAGGACCCAAACTGACATGATTAGAAATAAAAGCAGAAATACAGCAGGTAAAATAAGTATTGAACACGTCACCATTTTTCTCAGTAAATATATTACTAGAGGTGCTAATG